AGGCGATTTTAGATCGCTACATGGAACAACTTCCTCCTCCTGATCTGAGCATGTCTCAATAACAAAAAAAATACTTTATTTCTTCTTCCATTTATTTCATATTGGTTGATTTGGTGTGTTTATGTTGAATCTATAAAAAATGGAGTTTTTGGTGAATTCATCTCTCTAGAACTGTACTTGAAATTGAATAATTCGTGACTCATGGTCCCTTTATTTATCTTAGAAGACTATGTGTGTGGTAGATGTTAGTGGTAATTGATTTATTTATTTTGATGCAACACCTCAAATGTTGGTATTTTTCGTTTATGCGGTATATTGATTTTTAGTGATGAAATAATTTAGAAAATGAGTGAAAGTGTGAAGAAAAAATATAGAACCTTGTGGGTATATGGATCAATAAAGTCTAAGAAAAAAAATGTATAAAAAATATTCATATCGTTTGATTTAAAAAAAGAAGCGTGAAAAAGAATAAAATAAAATAGTCATAGAGTTTGGGCTGTAAATGTCAATTGAGTTATAGTTGAGGGGCTAAAGTGTAAGGAGGATAGAGGATGAGGGAGAAACTTTGTAAAAAGGAAGTCCCATTTTCTGTAAATTCGGAAACGGAAATACTTCAACTTCTTAAAGAGGGAAACCCCATTTTTATGGGGATGGAGGTTGTGAGAGAAATTCTGGTTCTACAATCGACCATAAAACACAAGGAATATCTCCCCGTGTTCGTCTTGAAAGAAGAACGAAAGGCCTTGGCGATTCTAGAGAAACAGTGAGAAGCAAAGGAGGAAATCGGCTGCTCAAGGAAATTCTGGTTTTCGAGGGTTTTCTTCAAATTCAAGGTAATCCATCGAGTTTAGTTTTAAGATTTTTGTCCATCAAAACGACATAGTATACAACAATTTACCTGATAAACACTTACTGTGGTAAGAGTCGTCGCCCTCACTTACTGGGTAAGATTCTTGATCTTTGTCTCGTTCTTACCGGATAAGATTCTTGTTCTTTACAATATTCATCCGGTAAGGTAATGTTACTCGGTAAACGCTTACTCAAATAAACGTTTGGTAAGTTTGGTAAACGGCCCCTTAATTTCGAGTTCGATGATCTCGTTTAATCACATACCATAGGCATAGATCGTAAAAGTCTCTGGTCGTAATGTGGTCTAATTAATTTGGAGTCCTTTGCATTTTCATAAAATAGATTTGTCCTCTTTTGAATCCTTCTTAACCACAAATCAAATATTAAATTAAAAAATTAATAATTATAATGAATTTAACTTAAAACATTAGTTAAGAGCATTTTTCTTTATTCCGGTAAATCTTATTCCGACCAACTTTATATGAAGACAATATACTACCTAGAAAAATAGTGTTAAAAAAAGATATATACACAGGACATTCAGTGTGATGCTCATATATACATACAACATGTACATTGTAATACCTTTGTAAAATAACAAAAAATACACATTGTGATATTCTTTCTAAAGCAACTAAAGTAACAAAAATACATACCGTGATACACTTCAGAAAACAACGAAAATAAATTGTAAAAATTATGATTGATGCACTTGGATCCACAAACATCTTTAAAAATACAATATATATTAAGCAATTAACATATTAGGTAATTAAAATTAATCAAATATTTTATTTACAGAATTAATTAAATCTTTTTATGGGTTGTTATAAGTAAAGTTACTAAATTACCCTTTTACCTATCTCAAATGAGTGATTTACATTCGATCTCACGATTATCACAAACTACACAGTTTTCATTTAATTATGTTTCTCTCTATCTTTATATATATATATATATATATATATATATATATACACACACACACACACACACACATATATATATATA